AAAGCACAAAAAATAAAAAAATAAATGTAAATAAATGTATTAAAAAGGTTTGAAATTGTCATAATGAAATAAAACTTTAACATAAACCCCACATTTTTATATATGAAAATAAAAATAAAATGTTGGACTTCATGAACTGAATAAAACAATTAATTTTTATTAAATCACTTTTTAATGTTTAAAAAACAAAATTTTTTAATTTTAATCTTATTTATGGTTCGCTTACATTTTTTAAAAATTTTCAATTAAAAAATAAAAATTATCTTAAAAAATTACTCATACGCACCGAGTAACGAAAAATGTTATGCTTTTAAAATTTATTTAATTATTTTTATTTTTATTAAGAATTATTTAAGAATTATTTTTTTAGTGAATATTTTAAATACCGTTAATTTCTGTAATATACTTGTGGGTAAATATAATAATGAGCAATTAATACTCTTAACCAAGAAATGTAGATTTTATATATTTTTATGATTTTTTAGAAAGCATTTTTTATAAATATTAGAGAAATAATCATTTTGTCTGCATAAGCTTTGAGATTGTCAGAATACATCTGTACATAAAGAAGTTTTAATATTAACATAATGACATCTAAAATAGTTTAATTGAAATTAAAAAAAAAATTATAGCACTTTATTTCAGTTCAATGAAATTTACTATAATCTCACTCTTCCCCTACAAATAATTTCTGTCTTTTATAGACAATCCCAACAAATCGGTTGTAATAACCTTTTCGAATACTACAAGTGCGAAGACAGATTTTTTCCCATATATAATAATGATATATATCATTACTATTATGTAGGGAATACTGTATATTGTAGCTGACCTGGCTTATTACGCCAATCATAGTTATCGTAATTGATTCTTAGATTTATAATGAACCACCTTGAAACGTTTTGTTTTGTTTTGGTGATACAAAAAAATTGATTCCATGATGGACAAATCTGTTGCAGTTAAATTTGCACTTTACATATAATGAATTGCAGATTTTGGTTTCATAGAGAGTCTATCCGTGAGTTCTAATATCATCTCTGCTTAGTACAAAGAGTCTATGTATCATTGCTTTAAATATGTTGAGGAAATTTGCCAGAGATGTTGAACTAATAAATTATGCTGATATTTTTACTTTATTGCTTTATATTTGTATAAGCATTGATAAAAATATTGTATAAGAAATAAATCAGATAATTAATTTAAAAAATAAGTTCAAGCAATCAACGGTCCTTGCTGCAGCATCATTATTATTTTTATAAAAAACTTCTTATTCTCAGCCCTGTAATATATCTGCAATATATTTTAATACATGCAGACATATGTCCCATCCATCGCAAATAAGCATAATATCTTAATTTGTTAAAAATTATTCCTCAGAGTGACAATGGCGACAATTTAACAACAAATTGCGTAAAAACAGTGCTATCAATTCTTATGATGGCCACATACTCCCAAAACAAATGTTTCTCATTAAAATGTCTGGCATAGTAAATTTATTTAAAAAAAATATTCTTGAAAAAATTGTTATTTGTGTAAAGAAGTCAGTACGTGCTCGGTGTGGCGCTTCGACGACCAATCAAGTTGCCACATTGTAAAAATTTTTCATAGTTCGTGCCTTATTAATGTTGTCATTGTTTTTGTTGTTCCTCATAAAATGTTTGTTGTTGCCTGGTTACATAGAATTCCCAATTGGTTTTGATTAATCACACCAAAAAGCTGACAAAATCATCCAATTATACAGCAAAGTTTCATTATGTCATTGGGATACTCTTCAGCTGTGATGGAGTTCGGAAGTGGTAGTAGCGGCAGCGGAAATGGCAATAACTGAAATTTAGCTGTTAGTTCTTACCATGTTGACTAATGTTGCAGACTTAAAAAATTTTTGCGGTAAGCGGTCTGTGGCAAGAAGAGTGTAATGCAACTACTATGTATATGTTTGCCATGTGAAACCAAAATGGAATATTTTAAGGTACATTTTATGTAGTTACCACTAGTGATGTTGCATGTAATGTGAAGAAAGAAACCGACTTGCTGCACTTACTCAGGCAGTAGCAGCTTCGAAATTTTATTACTGAACTTCACTGCTGCTCTAGTGGCTCTTAGTGACGAATAGTTGGAGTAGCTGGAGTAGTTGCCACAACTGTTTTGACTTGATTGTGGCGTTACAAATTGTCGCCATTTTACATTTCTCAACAAAATGAAACTGGAGTTGCAATAACAAAAGAAAATATTGCAATGAAAGGCAGAGGGAAAAAATGTGAAATGCGATTACTTACAGTGTTGAAAAATGAACTCAACTGAAATGCTGTTGAAATAGGATTTTTCTCTTAAGCAGATTTTAAAAAATTATAACAGAAATTTGAAGACATTCATACTTTTTCTAAGCAATTAAATTAAATTTTTTTTTTTGTACATATATTTTGTTATAACACATTTAAATATAAAACTGGAAGACACAGTATTGTACAATTCACAGCAATCTCTGTACAATGTTGACACCAACTTTCTTTTGGCAAAGTTCTATTTAGGATACAGCTATAGTCGCATTCGGATCAATAACGTATTAAACTTTTTAAATAAAATACATTAAAAGTTTTTAAATGAAAATAATACTCGCAAGGAACATGGCCACACAGTGAGTGTCAATAACGAGATACTCACTGAGCGACGGCGAAACCATTTACTGTCATAAAAAGTAAAAAGATATGTAATTTAATAAAACCCAAAAGTTTTGACATCTCAGTTGCGTTCTGAGTTCTGCGTTCTGAGTTCTTTAAATAAAGTTTTCCATTTAGTGTATGAAAAATGTCAAAAAAATTATGAAAAAATAAAATATAAATATATTTTGCTGCAGTATGAATGAGGCTTAATACTCGAAAATAAAAACATATTTATGTCTGCGAATTCAGAATAAAAATATGTGTCATATTCAAGGATAACGCATTCACTTCATTTGTCACTTTTGTATACGAAAATTGAAAATGCATTACACCGTGCAGAATTATTCTTTTGTTGCGTTATTGCAGTGTCAGAACTGAGAAAAAGAATTTAGTCTTATTTTCATAAAAAAAAAATAAAAATTTGTCATAAATTGAAATTGAAAGTTGAATACGCAATATTAAAGGCTAGCATTTGACGATATAAAAAATGTTAAACAAAAAATTTAGTGAAAATCGGTTATAGAAACTAAATTAACTGAGTTTCTGCGATATATTTCTACAGTAAACTATTTCTCAACAGAAATAAAATTTTATTATAATTTTATAAAAATTTTAAGTGTTTATAAGTATAAAAATATCCTTGCCCTAAAAACAGGTTTCAAGTTACGTAGATAGTTTCACTCAATATAAGAACTATTTCTAGTAATCTCTGTATGTCTAGTGGTAGTAACAGTCTTAAGCATATGTGAGTACCTAATATGATAAACAAAAAATGGCGTCGACTAAAAAATATGGTTTCAAGTAGTACTTACTGATTTCAAAAAAATGAGAATACAGCACTGAAGAAAAGAAGCCTCGCATAGAAAATGGTGGAGAGAATAATTTGAGGAACTACCCCCGTGGATTCTAATGCAAAAAAAAAAAAAAAAGAAGGTGGTTTTTACTAATTTATAACATTATTTTCTTCTTAATTCTCTCAGACTTCTTAATGGTGAACAAAAAGTGATTAAGAGAAGTAGTTGAGCTGATCCTTCTGAATTGAAGGCTAAGAAAGAAAAAAAGAAGATAGAAGTATTCTCTGAGATTCTTTAATGGCAACTAGAAAATGGTAGAGAGAAGTAGTTGAGCTTATCCTCTTGGATAGTAATGTTAAGAAAGAAAAAAAAGAAGATAGCTTCTACAAACTTGCAACTTTTTTTTTTTGTTTAATTCTCTGAGATCCTTTAATGGCAAGTAGAAAGTAGTGGAGAGAAATAAGTGACGAACTACTGGTCCCCTCGGTTTGTAATGCTAAGGAAGAAAACAAAAGAAGAAACTAGTTTTCACTAATTTGTAAAATTCTATTATTCTTAATTCTCTAAGATTTCTTAATGGTAAATAGAATATGGTGAAAAGAAGTAGTTGATGAAATACTGATTCACGCTGCACTGTTATGCTAAGAAAGAAAAAAAAAGAAAGTACGTTCCATTAATTAAATATTTTTTTCTGAAATTTAATTGTTAAAGTCAATTATGATGAAAGAATCCATGTTTCTTAATAAAAACTATTGTTTTAAAAGAGAGATATTTGTAGCAGTAGTGAATTACAAGAACAAAATATTTTATCATTTATTAGTTAATTGAATTTTTGGCTGACTATATAGCTATTTCGATTATTGGCAAATACCCAACATCAGTGATTCTAATATTATTTTTTGTAAATTGTAAAGAACCTTTTTTTCTTAAGCCGGGGTTTTTCTCGCCGGATCCCAGAGTCGTTACAAGAATATTTTTTCTCTGTAACCCTGAATCTTCTCGTAATTAAAAAACGGGCTATTTTCGTTAGTTTCGTGGTTTTATTATTTTTCTCAAAATAAATTTATTACAATATTTATAGTTATACTTATGTACTAATGATATTTTATTGTAA